TATCTAGTTGTGTGAGTGTGTGCCCATGAGTGCAGGTGTCCATGGAAGCTTCCTGTCTCCCGATGGCGGAGTCTCGGGACAATGGTGTCTGTGAGCTGACGAGAGATGGATTCTGGGAACCCAACTCTACCAAGAGCAATTCAAGCTCTTAATCAGCGAGCCACCTCTCCGGCCCCCACATCAAAACGATTCTTTTAAATCAAAAAGCCACCAATGGTCTAGACTCAGTTAGAAGTGAGCTTACATGTGGGAGCACACCCTCTTGCCTCTGCTGTCTTCAGTGCCACTCCCCTTTCTCACAGATTCACCTTTGACCCTGGAGTCCCTCCCTTACTGAACTTCAGGGGTGACACTAACAGTCAGATTTACATCTTTGGATGACGGAGGTCTTTTTTTACTTCCTTGTTTTGAGACAAGGTTTCTCTGTGTAGCTCTGGTCGTTCTGGAGCTCGCTCTGTAAACCAGGCTGGCCCCCCTCACCCCCCTCTGCTTCCTGAGTGCTGGGACTAAAGGTGTGTGCCACCATGCCCAGCTCTGAAAATGTCTTTGTCATGTGTTTTTTTTGTTTGTTTGTTTGGTTGGTTTTTTTTTTTTTTTTTTTTTTTTTTGGTTTTTTGAGACAGGGTTTCTCTGTATTGTTTTGGAGGCTGTCCTGGAACTCACTTTGTAGACCAGGCTGGCCTCGAACTCACAGAGATCCGCCTGCCTCTGCCTCCCGAGTGCTGGGATTAAAGGCGTGCGCCACCAATGCCCGGCTTGTCATGTGTTTTCTAGTTGAACGCTGGCTGGATTTGGCAGAAACCTCTGAGTTCACACAGTAAGCATCTTTGAGGGTTATCTATTATGTCAGTCACTCCGCCTTCTAATACCCGTCAACGTCCAAGATGAGATACAGTGCTAATAGGAGTCTCACTGCCTTGTGGATAATCTGCTCTCTCTGTGTGTGTCTCTGTCTGTCTGTCTCTCTCTGTGTCTCTCTCTCTCTCTCTCTCTCTCTCTCTCTCTCTCTCTCTCCCTCCCCCCCCTCTCTCATGTATCTCTTGTGTGTCTATCTCCTCTCTCTATCTATCTCTCGTGTCTCGTGTGTGTGTGTGTGTGTGTGTGTCTGTCTGTCTGTCTGTCTCCTCTTTGTCTTCCTCTCTGTCTTTCACTCTCCTGTTTGTGTGCTCTCTCTCTCTCTCTTTCTCTCTCTCTCTCTGTCTCTCTCTCCAGTGTGTGTGTCTGCCTGTCTGTCTGTCTGTCTATATCCTCTCTCTCTTTCTCTCTGTCTCTCTGTCATGTCTCGTGTGTGTCTGTGTCTGTGTGTGTGTCTGTGTGTGTGTCTGTGTGTGTGCGCATGCGTGTGTCTAGAAGGTGGACTTTTTTTCTTCATTCTTCGCCTTCTCTTCACTATCCACCTCCTTTCCCTTCATCGCTTCTATCAAAACAGCCTGCTCGTGCTGTACTGGGGTGAAATGAAATAAAGACCTTGCGTACCCTGGGCAAGTGCTCTGCCCCCACCCCTTTCCTTCCCCTCTGTTGTCGGGACAGGAGAAGGAACCCGCCCTCCCCGGGGCGACATCTTCCCTTCACACGCTGGCCTGTTTCTCTCACCTTCTCCATGACCACCCATCAGACCCCGTTAGAAGCTCCCCCATCTTAAAAACAAACGGATAAACAAACGCCAGCGCCCACAGCATCTCCCCAGCTCACAACCTGTCTGCTCAACTCCAGTTCTTCAGGGCTCCCCCTACCCTTTGGTTTTGTTTGTTTGAGGTGGGGTCTCACTCCTAGTCCACGCTGGCCTACAACCCACTATGAAGCTCGGGCTGGCCTCCAGCTCACCAGAGTGCTGTTGCTCCAGCCGCCTAAGGACTGCAGCTACAGGCGTGAGGCACCGCACCTGGCTAGTCTCAGCATCATCTCCATAGGAGAAGCCAGCTCCTAGGATGATATCCCCACCTTCTACTGGGTACCAACCCTCAGCATCACCTCCATAGGAGAAGCCAGCTCCTAGGATGATATCCCCACCTTCTACTGGGTACCAACCCTCAGCATCACCTCCATAGGAGAAGCCAGCTCCTAGGATGACATCACCACCTTCTACTGGGTACCAGCTCTCAGCATCATCTCCTAGGAGAAGCCAGCTCCTAGGATGATATCCCCACCTTCTACTGGGTACCAACCCTCAGCATCATCTCCATAGGAGAAGACAGCTCCTAGGATGACATCACACCTTCTACTGGGTACCAACCCTCAGCATCATCTCCTAGGAGAAGCCAGCTCCTAGGATGACATCACCACCTTCTACTGGGTACCAGCTCTCAGCATCATCTCCATAGGAGAAGCCAGATCCTAGGATGACATCCCCACCTTCTACTGGGTACCAACCCTCAGCATCACCTTCATAGGAGAAGCCAGCTCCTAGGATGACATCACCACCTTCTACTGGGTACCAACCCTCAGCATCATCTCCATAGGAGAAGCCAGCTCCTAGGATGACATCTCCACCTTCTACTGGGTACCAACCCTCAGCATCATCTCTATAGGAGAAGCCAGCTCCTAGGATGACATCACCACCTTCTACTGGGTACCAACTCTCAGCATCATCTCCTAGGAGAAGCCAGCTCCTAGGATGACATCACCACCTTCTACTGAGTACCAACCCTCAGCATCATCTCCATAGGAGAAGCCAGATCCTAGGATGACATCCCCACCTTCTACTGGGTACCAACCCTCAGCATCACCTTCATAGGAGAAGCCAGCTCCTAGGATGACATCACCACCTTCTACTGGGTACCAACTCTCAGCATCACCTCCATAGGAGAAGCCAGCTCCTAGGGTGACATCACCACCTTCTACTGGGTACCAACCCTCAGCATCATCTCCTAGGAGAAGCCAGCTCCTAGGATGACATCACCACCTTCTACTGGGTACCAGCTCTCAGCATCATCTCCATAGGAGAAGCCAGATCCTAGGATGACATCCCCACCTTCTACTGGGTACCAACCCTCAGCATCACCTCCATAGGAGAAGCCAGCTCCTAGGATGACATCACCACCTTCTACTGGGTACCAACCCTCAGCATCATCTCCATAGGAGAAGCCAGCTCCTAGGATGACATCTCCACCTTCTACTGGGTACCAACCCTCAGCATCATCTCTATAGGAGAAGCCAGCTCCTAGGATGACATCACCACCTTCTACTGGGTACCAGCTCTCAGCATCATCTCCTAGGAGAAGCCAGCTCCTAGGATGACATCACCACCTTCTACTGGGTACCAGCTCTCAGCATCATCTCCTAGGAGAAGCCAGCTCCTAGGATGATATCCCCACCTTCTACTGGGTACCAACTCTCAGCATCATCTCCTAGGAGAAGCCAGCTCCTAGGATGACATCACCACCTTCTACTGGGTACCAGCTCTCAGCATCATCTCCATAGGAGAAGCCAGATCCTAGGATGACATCCCCACCTTCTACTGGGTACCAACTCTCAGCATCACCTCCATAGGAGAAGCCAGCTCCTAGGATGACATCCCCACCTTCTACTGGGTACCAACTCTCAGCATCATCTCTATAGGAGAAGCCAGCTCCTAGGGTGACATCACCACCTTCTAGTAGGTATCAACTCTCAGCATCACATCCATAAGAGAAACCAGCTCCTAGGATGACATCACCACCTTCTACTGGGTACCAACTCTCAGCATCATCTTCATAGGAGAAGCCAGCTCCTAGGCCTTAGCCTTTGGGGACACTCAAACAATATCCACAGTATCTTTTCCATGGCTTTTTTTTTTGAGACAGAGTCCCACCATGTAGCCCTGGCCTTGAACTCATAGAGATGCACTTGTTCCTGACTCCTGCATGCTGGAATTACAGACGTGCATCACCGTGCCCAGCTCTCTCCCCCGTGACTTTAGGTGCTATTTGCTGATGAGTCTTAAACTGTGTCTTCAGCCAGGTGCTGCATGGGAATGCCCCCCCACCTCATCGTCTGTCATTCTCTCGGGCGCCATCTCAGAGTCGACACCTCTGAGCCTGGAGCGTGTTTGCCTTCCAATCTGCTCCTTTCCAGCTAGCTAATAGAAACCAGTCTCCGCACCTGCTCCTCCCTCAATGGCCCGTGTCTTATTCCTCAGCTCTTCCCGGCTGACTGCCTTCAGCCAGGCTCGGTAACCTCCTACTACGGCCATGAAATTATGAATTGTCCCGTCGATTAATTCAGTCATAAAGTCAGAGTCCTCAGACGAGGCAGTCAGTGCCAGCCAAGCCCCCAAGGCGGGAGCCTATGGAGGTCCCTTCACATTCACGGTGTCTTGGAAAGGGGGAGGGGGTGGGGATGGGCTTGCCTTCAGACACACTGAGCTTCAGTTTGATCACTTGCTAAAATAAATGGGGAACTAGGAAGCATCTGCTGTACCCAACTCTACCCAACTGTGTGTTTATACAGCCGTATAGGGATTGAGCTTAGACCCCTGTTCATGCCCAGCAATCATTTTCCCACTGAGCTAAAACACAGGGTCTCACTAATTTGCTTAAGCTGAATTAGAACTCATTCAGTAGCCCAGGCAGGCCTCCAACTTGTGATCCTCCTGACTCACCCTCTCCTAAGAAGGTGAAGCAACAGGTCCGTACTACGCCTAACTACACACACACACACCCACAACCACACACAATTTAAAAAGACAGAGACTGGGTGCCCTGCTGCTACCCAATGGATCTGTAGAAAGAATGAACTTTCCCTCCAATAAGACAAACTACTTTCAGAGGGTTCCAAAAATAGCACTTCCTGAGTTTCTAGTCTACTTAGCCCTGGTCGTGTATAGCCTGGTATCGATGATTTTGGGTCTAACACTGAACTCAGACTTCCCTTCCCAAGAGGCTTTGCAGCGTGTCTAACATACTCAAGACACCGTCAAGTTCCCTTGTGGGTTTGGGCCGTGATGCATCAGTATATAGAAGGGAAACAGATGACCCAAGCCATCCCTCGGAACTCGGGTCTTGAGCTAATTCCTCCGTTCT